GACCCAACAGGTCCCTAACAGTGGCACAGCAGCTGCCATTCGCCGTGTCCCGTTCTAGAGCCATGGCCTGCGTGGGCACGTAGGCAGTGCCAGGAGCTCAGTTCCCTCTCGTGCTTCCCGCTGAGCAGAGCTCTCGGGGAGCACTCGAGTTTGGCACAGCCTCAGCGCCAGGGCTTGCCCGTGGGCACCGAGCAGCGCTGGGCGCTCGTGCCAGGAGCGCTCCAAGCCAGCGCAGCAGAGGCAGCCCTGCCTTCCCTGCCCTCCTGCGCCTTGTTCTGCCCGTCCAGCTCCTCTCGCCCCTTTGCCAGCTGGAGTGTTCACGTGGCTGTAAGGTGAAACGTGGTGGGGAACTGAGCCAGCCGAAAACACCTTGCTCTTGATTGCGCTTTTTGACAGATTGTTTTCAGCCACATCTCTTCCCTGCTTTGGTTTTCTGCACGGTCTGGGCCATGAGAAGGGAGAAGGAAGATAAATGGATGAATACAAGCCAAGAGAAGGTGGCAGTGCCAGTTCATAAACTGCTTGTATTAGAACTACAGTAGATGGTGCTTTTTCCCTTCCTCTTCCTCGATCTAGAGCTCAGCCAGAGGGCCTGCAGTAGAGGAGAGCTCATGTCCACGTAGCCTGGGCTCTGTGATCTTGGAGAGCCGGGAGGAAACTTGCTGGCACGAGCTGCTGCTTCTGCGTTGGACACCTCTGCCACAAGTGCCGTGGCAGAAGCACCACGGCCCAAAGGGGTCTACAGCTTCCTTAGCCCCGAGGCAGTTGCAAAACGGCTGAAATAACGTGTTGTCACCTTCACGTTGCATCACTGCCATCTCCTCCTCCTTCTGGACTCGTGTCACTGAAAATAGCAGAGGAGTCTTCCTCGGAAATCTCTAGGGAGTCGCTTCAAGGAGACTTGTCTTTCAGTCATCTGCCTTTTGATTTGCTTTGACATATCTTGTGTTGTACGGATAGACGGCAGCTTGTTTCCCTTGCTTTGATCGCTCTCTTTTGATCCCAAAGTGTCTCTGGGAAAGAAAGAATATTGACCTAAAATAATTTACTTGCTGTGCAGCAAGGAAGCTGCAATGTAGGTTGCTGCTTGAAGCATTTTTCAAGTCAGAGCAGATAAGTGGCATCAAATAAGTCTGCGCTCTGTATGCATGTAATCAGTGTAAAATCTTGCATAGAGAAATACCCAAAGAGCACAATTATTATGAGACCGTGTCACTTCTGTACTTGGAATTCTGGTCTACTGCTTGTTTCGATGTGATATTTATGTGAAGCAGCTGTTCTGGATATCCCTTGTGCACTTTGGCTCCTCCTGCTTTCCCTGTTTCCACGCTTTTTAGTGGTAAAAAGCCTGGTTTCCGTTTGCTGATGGTCACCGAGGAGAGCTGGCCGGTCCTCCTGGTTCCCATCCAGAGTTGCAGGATGACCCCAGTGGAGCACAGCGAGGCATTGGGATCTCCTTGCAGAGCTCCCCGTTGGGTGACGCGCTCTGCATGTCTGATAAGGTTTCCATAGCAGCAGTGGGAACGTGATCAGGCCTATTCCGAGAAGAAATCTCCTTCTCAGTTTCTTCTTCTGGATCGGTTTCTTCTCGGGGCACCCTGTTGAGGAGCACAAGGCAGCACAGCTTTCCAAACAGAGACCTCGCTTGCTCCATATCACTTTGGAGAGCTGATGTTCCAGAGCTTCCAGAGCATCGGGTAGGGTATGGATAGCGATCATGACACGAGCAAATGCTACCATGCGGTGGTCCACTTTTTTCTGTTGCTTTCACGGGTAAGAAAATATGAAAATAAAAAGGGCAACCCCTTATGCTATTTCTGTTCAAGAAACTCTCTCTGAGGGCCAGATTTGACTACCACAAACTTTTCAGATGCCAGTCCCAAAAAGGAAGTAAAGAGAATGTGAAAGCGGGGACGGAACTACCCGGAGCAATAGTGAGGATTCACCCAAGCACTGGGGTGTTACCGGGAAAGTAAAGCTCAGCCTGAGTGGAGACTGGCCAGGGAGGTGACGGGCAGCAGAACGGGGCTGCCCTCCTCTGCAGAGCGCTCTGGTCGCCGTGGGAAAGGTGACCTGGGCAGCAGTGTGGGGCACACGTGGATGCACGGGAAGGGAAGGGAAGGTGGTGCAAGGGCAGAGGGAAGTGCTGTGCCTTTGCTGAGGGTGCTGGGCAAGTCCAGTCCTGCCTGGCATAGCAAGTAGGCTGAAGTACCCCCTGCAGCAGAGCCAGGGGCATCAGTATTTGAGGAAAAGAAAGTTGCAGGTAAATTGGATTTTTATTTTATTTTATTTTATTATTTTATTATTTTATTTTATTTTACTCTACTTTATTCTACTTTATTCTACTTTATTCTACTTTATTCTACTTTATTCTACTTTATTCTACTTTA